CTGCCTCCATGTATTTATCTCGTGATAATGGACTAAGATTTTCAAGTAATGGATAAGCTGTGTTAGCTTATGAATGCAACACGTGTTAATTTATTACTTTACCGACCCCAAAGTAACGATATCACTGAAAGGTTAAATGCCTCGATTCTTTCACTAATGAGATCACTCAGAAGTGGGACATCAGACACATGGGATGAATCACTCCTGACGATCCAGTCATGTATCGATGGTATCTTCCATTCCTCCGTAGGTGAATCCCCTCATTTTCTGTCTATGGTACAGATAATTTTTATAACCAACGAACGTATTTTAAACCATGTCTCGTTACTTGGATGGCGATGAAGTCGACAAAAAAAATAAAGATTCATCTATTTTTTAAGTCCAATACCGTAAATAGGTACAGCCCGAAATGCACAGTTTTTCACTTAAACTGTGTATTACCAGTTTTTCTAGATATCCTTTCCTTTATTCTTTTTCAATTATTCTATCTCTTCAGGGGTGTCAATATAACCCTTGAAGATGGTAATGGTCGTTACATATTTTGTTTATTTTTTCTCTCCCTCTCTCTCTTCATGGTTGTTCGGATTCTTTGGCTTGTTTGGACTACCGAACTATCGGGTTGGTCTTCTGATGCTTTGCGTATCTTCTTTTCGCGCCATGCTTAAGGCATGACCTGGGAAGATCTCTTTCGGGTATAAGTACCCATGGTCTGGTGAGGGGAAGACAGTTCGGTCCTGACTTCTATTGTGTATAGTGTTCCCGCTCTCGGTGTTATTTGTGTTCGATTTACCTCGCCAGAATTGATGTTTTCACAAAGTTAAGCATTATATCTGTGATTGTGTATAGGAGACACTTGGTTTCTTTTGGACTTTGGCGTGTGGCATGCATCGTTACCATCTGCAGGGTGCACTCTCTTTCACGATGTCCCAAAGCAGCACTTTGTGAAATCAAAGTGTCAGAGCGCAAAAGGACCACTTCACATAGATGGGACACTGTTTGAGGATCCGTACCTCCAGTGTGTCATTTAATGTTTAAAACTGAGTTGTTACTTTTTTTCTTCTCAGCTTGAGGATCCTTACGTCCTGGGAGAAAGATCTTCCACAATCTCGCCCATATTTTTAGGACCATTTTACTTTGCCTTTTTACCATTTTACTTTGTCTGGGTTGATTCCTGCCTGACCTTGTGGGTCAGGCAGGTCCTCGTGATCTATGCCCTTTTGGTGTTTTTTTTCTAGGCCTCCGACTATACATTAGTTCTTATGGTACGTTTTTATACGTTTTTATTCAGAGTTTACCAGCACTATTTTTTTTTCTAAGTTTTGTTTTAGATTAAGAGTCAGTATGTTTTCGTGTTAACACTCTGGGTAAAAATAATTATGAAGTTGGGACGCCAGCTTAGGGGTAAATATATGTTTGTCAGTTATCCTTTATCTATTTTCTCGTGATTGAGTTATTTGTAGACCTCCGCAATCATACAATCATGCTCTATCATA